CGAATCCTGGTCGCTCAAGATTTTTAGTCCGTGTATTTATAAACACTTAGTCAAGTCATACTTAATCAAGTCATTAGATAAAGTAGAAAATAAACTATATAAAAAACTTTTTAAAAACCACGTTTTTCATGTGTAGCAACGGACTAAAAAGGAGAAAATAAAATACTTAAAAAAAACTTTTTTAAAAAACCACGTTTTTCTTGTGGACTAAAAAGTAGAAAATAAATTTTCATACATTTGATGACAAAAAAACGTGGGTACGTTCACCATCAAATTTCCCGACCCATCTGCCCGACCCACGTTTTTTGTCATCAAATGTATGAAAATTTTTTAACACGTTTTTCTTAACTCAGCTTCGCGTTTGTGGATTTGTTTGTTTGTTGTTAAAATTGACATCGAAAATTAGCCCACTTCTGATTGCTCTACAGATCTGAAATTTGGCATACAGGCTACTTTCGCCTAACAATTTCAGATGCAATCATAAAAACTAGCAATTAGAGACCGTAATTAGCTTAATTTAATTACGCCCCAAGGACCATAAAATTGAGGACATGATTTCTAAAGATACCGACAAGACTGGAGGCTTATTCACACAGTTACTTCGGCCCCAATCGATGTGAGCGCGCTGGCCGTGATCGTATAGTGGTTAGTACTTCGCGTTGTGGCCGCGACAACCCAGGTTCGAATCCTGGTCGCTCAAGATTTTTTAGTCCGTGTATTTATAAACACTTAGTCAAGTCATACTTAATCAAGTCATTAGATTAAGTAGAAAATAAACTATTTAAAAAACTTTTTAAAAACCACGTTTTTCATGTGTAGCAACGGACTAAAAAGGAGAAAATAAAATACTTTAAAAAAACTTTTTAAAAAACCACGTTTTTCTTGTGGACTAAAAAGTAGAAAATAAATTTTTCTTTTGTGCTTCCTCGAGCTGTGCAGGTTCTTGTGATGACTGACAAAAAACGTGGGTCGGGCAGATGGGTCGGGAAATTTGATGGTGAACGTACCCACGTTTTTTGTCAGTCATCACAAGAACCTGCACAGCTCGAGGAAGCACAAAAGAAAAATTTATTTTCTACTTTTTAGTCCACAAGAAAAACGTGGTTTTTTAAAAAGTTTTTTTAAAGTATTTTATTTTACGGTTGTTTTTTGTGAGGTTCATGCAAATGAAAGCGGTTATACGAAATGTTAAAAAGCGTTGTTTTTTCTGTAAGTATAATATAATATAAAACAAAAACATTTGTATTTATTAAAAATAGAATTTTAAAAACACCAATTAATTTTCAATATGATAGTCGGATATAAACAATTATACAACTAATTAATGTATAATTGTAAAAATGCTATTTTCCGCAAAGTAAGCAGAATATTAAATATACAAGCACAATGTTTAAGACCACGAAAGGTTATTTTAAAACATTTCCTAACCATAACTGTTATTTTTAAAAATTATATTGATTTTAAAAATTAGCTTTAAACCAAGATAATCTTGATCGATCGTCCCCCTTGATGTGCCTAACACTTTTTGTCTCCCTTGTATTTGTTGTTAAAATAAAATCAGAACATAAAGCGACCATTATCCTTTCAAACAAAATCCATTGGTGAACACGTTCACCTATTGTTTGAATGCCGAGGCAATCAAGTTTCTGATGTCAAATGGTGCGGAATTTTTCAAGTGTAATAACAACAAAACGTGTACCAGATTTGTAACGGTTTACTAACCGTGTAGATGCGGCGAGGTGTGAAAAGAGTGCAACGACAAAAAAATTAGAAAATGTAAATTCTGTTAACAGTAAAGAAATTTGAAGTATTTTGTGACCAGCACATTACTAACAGTAAACTGACTTTATATTCTAACAGGAGCAGAACAAAGCAACACGTTGACTGTGAGGAGAGATCAATAACAAAAGGATGAACACAATTTGAGGAGACTTGGCAAGGCGAGTGACTGAAGTTGGTACAGGTGAACTATTGCAACCAGTTGTCACAGTCTCTCCCAGCTGACTGCCACAGGGGTACCCAGCTGTCAACACCCCCCCCCCCCCCACGTACCCAACTGTCAACACCCCACCCCCCTCTCTGATTTAGTTGACTACCACTGGGGTATCCAGCTGTCGAATCCCCCCCCCCCCCCCGCCACTCTGGTACCCAGCTATCAAATCCCCCCCCCCTTTATGGTTTAGTTGACTGTCAGTTAGGTACCCAACTGTCCAATCCCCACCCCCCCAACCCGCACCACCGGGGTACCCAGCGAGCCATGGAGAACATGACCCAGGGAGCGGACATGCCTCCAGACATTGACGTCGACTCCATCCTCCTGATCGTCTTCTCCCTCCTGATGTCCCTGTTCATCATCTCGGCCAACACACTGACCATCGTGGTCATCCACCGGACCCCCAACCTCCGGACACTGTCCAACCTGTACATCCTGTCCCTGGCCACCTCCGACCTGGTGGTGGGGCTCGGGCTCATCCCCCTCTCCCTCTTCTACGTCCCCAGCCTGCGCACCCACCTGTACGACAACAACATCCGCTTCTGCGCCCTCGTCTTCGGGGTCAACCTGGGCGTGGCGGTGGTGTCTTGTGTCAACATGACCCTGATAGCCACAGACCGCTACCTGTACATCGTGCATCCCTACACATACGCGCGTGTCGTCACGAGACATTACGTCATCCTCCTGCTCTGCTGTGCCTGGAGTTTCGGTGTTCTCTACGCTCTGCTGCCCCAGGTCATCCACAACGACCCCGCCAAGTGTGACGTCACACTGGTCATGCCCATCGGCTACCTGTTTTACGCCAATGTCTCGCTGTTTCTCGTCTTGGTGGCGATCAACTTTGTTCTGTACACACAGATCCTGTTGGCTGCGTACCGGCACAGTCGGCTCATTAGCACAACCACCACCCACCCCCACAACCAAACCAACACACACCCCCATCCACACCAACAAACCAACATCAAACACGACCATCAAACACCCAGCAACCCAAATCACCAAGTCATCTCGACCATATCACAAGTGTGTGACGTTGCCTTCAACAAAACAAATCAACTGGAACTAAATTCGCTGCCAAAGCCTTTTCATCTTGTCCACCCGACGCAGACCGAGACTACGTCTATGATTTTCACACCCAACACTGCCCCCAGTGTGCTAAGTGCCACACCCAACATTAATCCAAGGATACTAACTGCGACACCAAACACTACCACCAATGTGCTAAGTGCTACTCGCGTTAAACCAAACCAAAGCAAACCTCCAACAACACACGACACTTCAGCCAACCTCCATGACACGACCAGAGACGACAAACCGGCACACAAAAAACACAACCTCCGCATGAAGAGTGTGAAATTCTTCATGACGGTGTTTGGAGTTTATTTCGTCTGCTTCGCGCCCACTGTCGTCTGCATGGGCTTGGACTACTTTCTTCCGGTGCCCAGATTTTTGTACAACATGTTTAATTTGCTGGCGCTAATGAATTCTGGGATGAATTTTATTATTTATTTAACTCTGAACTCAAAGTTTAAACTGGCGGTTAAAAAATACCTCGGCCTTAACCCTTCCCCTAATTCATGTGACGTCACAGATATGTCTTCACCTTGGGACAAGTAAACCGGATGTAACCAGTTTTTGAACGAACCATTTTAAAAACAGATAGTATTGCATTGTGATATTTCCATTGTAAGTTATTAAAATGCTAAAAATAATCAAAATTATTGTTGTTCGTGCCCATGAAAGAGTGCTTTTGTGTAATGTGTACTCATTCTACTAGCGTTATATTAAGTCCGTTCATTGTTTTTGTTTGTTTGTTAGTTGGTAGGTTTGAAGTTTTACCTATTTCTAACGAAATTATTTCTCAAAAACTTAGCGGATAAGTGCATCTTCATTAGCCACGTAAGAAAATCTAATTAGCTGCTAAATACATCATTAAACTACATTTAAATTTGACACTGTTCAATGACAAAAGGGGAGATAACTATTCAGTCTCAAACAGCCTATAAACTCAGGTGAGCTGTGTTCACGACTGTTGTTGACAAATCCAAGCTGAGACAGACTGCTATAATGGCAGCAACCACGGCATTGACCACACCAGCAACCACACCATCGAAACAACCACACCATTGACTACACCGCTCCGACAACAACACCATCGACCACGCCATCCCAATAACCACACCATCAAAACAACCACCCCACCGACGACAACACCCCACTTGCCGTAACAACCACACCAACAACCACACCGTCGACCACACCACCCCAACAACCACACAATCGACCACACCACCCCAATAACCACACCATCAAAACAACCATCCCACCGACCACAACACCCCACTTGCCGTAACATCAAAGGCAATAAAACTACCCAAGTGAGCATACATGAAAAAGACAAATAGTGGGTTAGCTGTCAAGTGGCGGGGGGGGGGGGGGGGGGGGTGAGGACTACCTAGTCCCACCAGAGTGTAAACATATCTATTATCTTCCCCCCCCCCCAGTTCACTATTGTTGACCGTGCAGTATCACGTGACTATGACCGTCGAATGTTGTTATTGATGTTGTTTACCAAACTAATCAATGAATGGGTAAACACGTCTAATTAGTAGGGTCACGTGATCGTATCAATGAGTTCAGTCCTGCGGGATTCATTAGGTTCTGACTGAGACAATTGGTAGATTTGTTTGACCACACAGTTTGAACCCTCGGGCTGTGTTCTGTTACCCCCGGGCTGGCGGTGGTCAGCGGAAGGGGGGGGGGGGTTAAATGGAAGGAGGGGGGAAAGGACGAAGGGAGGGAGAGGGACTCGCAGATATGAACCATTCTACCTGGGTAACAGAAAAACCAATAACCACATTGGTGGCAACGTCGTGAAATACCAGAAACACGCCTGGCATTATACACACCAGATGACACCACTAGACCTCTGATACAATGACACCACTAGACTGACTAACACGTTCACCATGACACCACAAACAAAACCCACCATGACACCACTCACCTTTGTGACAGGACTAGGGTGTAACACCGCCACACCTGCCGGTATTTTCCCCTTTAGGATCTCCTGCGTCATGAAACCTCCGCTCACCACGTGACCTACTTTATCCGCGGCCTCGAATTTCCGGCAGCACGCGATGACGTCATCTCCGGTTACAACTGTAAAGGCACCTCTTTCAGTGGCCTGTTGAGAATAGTGGCAGGTAGTGGGTTGGCCAGTGGCAGGTAGTGGGTTGGGCAGGCGGCAGGTAGTGGCAGGTAGTGGGTTGGGCAGTGGCAGGTAGTGGGTTGGGCAGTGGCAGGTAGTGGGTTGGGCAGTGGCAGGTAGTGGGTTGGGCAGGTGGCAGGTAGTGGCAGGTAGTGGGTTGGGCAGTGGCAGGTAGTGGGTTGGGCAGTGGCAGGTAGTGGCAGGTAGTGGGTTGGGCAGTGGCAGGTAGTGGGTTGGGCAGTGGCAGGTAGTGGGTTGGGCAGTGGCAGGTAGTGGGTTGGGCAGTGGCAGGTAGTGGGTTGAGCGAGTGGCAAGAAACCCTGAGGTTAGAGGATCCACAATTCTTGACCCACTAGATCCAACATTTAGACTAATCTAGATTCTCTTAGAGAATAAATAATTGACAAAATAAATGTGTTAAGATGTTGAATTTCAAGGGTAGGGTTAGGATAAGTATTATGTGACCAGTAACATTACAGCATCGAATACGTTCTGCCAAGATTTCATAATTATTGAATCTCCCCCCCCCCCGTCAAATATTTAATCCGTCGATCGGCCACCGAGAGGGTCTTTTCAAGTGGCTACCGATGTGGTTCTATCAAGTCGACTACAATGTGGTTCTATCAAGTCGACTACAATGTGGTTCTATCAAGTCGACTACAATGTGGTTCTATCAAGTCGACTACAATGTGGTTCTATCAAGTCGACTACAATGTGGTTCTATCAAGTCGACTACAATGTGGTTCTATCAAGTCGACTACAATGTGGTTCTATCAAGTCGACTACAATGTGGTTCTATCAAGTCGACTACAATGTGGTTCTATCAAGTCGACAAAAAGCTTTAAAAGGTAACCCAGCGTGCTAGCACAGCGCGAACATAATACTTGCAACACGAGCCGGCATCTCCACATGTTATAACGTTATTTCATCCAACAATGTTCAGTCGGTGCAGGTGGCCGTTATTTCCGGTTTGATTACATGCCACGCCATCTTGTTTTTACCGCGTGACCAGTCCCAATTCTAGGAAAGGAGATTGTGGTTCCCCCCTCCCCCTTGAGAAAAATGTCTGCGAGCAACTCTTTACGCCAAATAAACCCCATGTAGCTTCACGTTAATTCAACGTAATATACGTGTGTCAAGGGGAGCCACTCTTGACTTTTTAAAATAATAAACTCTGAACGCAAACACCCCCTACCAAAGTAAGCTAGCAGTAGTGTGTGTGGGGGGGGGGGACAACAACCCAAAAACAGATGGCCTACACCGTGAAAAGAATGACTCGACTGAGCCACATAAACACATACACACATACACACAAACACACATACACACGTACACATATACACACATACACAAAAACAAACATCCCACTATGCCAGACAGGTGAGCAGGAAGTTCAAACCGTTTTGTTACCTGAATGATATCGTCCAGCATGGCCTTGGCACCCTCGCTATCGACCCTCACCCCCGGGACGCCGTCCCACAAGATGGTGCCAGCCCCGGCTATAGCTTCAGCGAAATGTGATCGGCTTTCTTCACCAATGTCTAAACCTATCCAGTCTGAAATATGAGATGGTCTCTGTTTACCAATGTCTAAACCTATCCAGTCTGGAATATGTCATGGGAACGTTTCAATATCTTTAAAGACAATTTGTACACAAGCTGTATGTCATATCTAAACAATCGATATGTTACATCCAATTGGTAAACAATCGATATGTTACATCCAATTGGTAAACAATCGATATGTTACATCCAATTGGTAAACAATCGATATGTTACATCAAATTGGTAAACAATCGATATGTTACATCCAAACAATCGATATGTTACATCCAATTGGTAAACAATTGATATGATACATCCAATTGGTAAACAATTGATATGTTACATCCAAACAGTCGATATGTCACATCCCTTCCAATGCGAGAGCGTGAGTGATCATGATTGAATGACAGATTTGATCAGCCAGATGAAGAGAGATATATTAAACATGTAACGTCTCTACAGAATTTATTGTGTAATGAGACAACAGCCTGGATATTTAAAGCAACGGATAGCTAGAGTCCTCGGGTCAACATAACAGAAATGATTTTAATGACACGATTTTGTAAGCTACGTGTGGTCCTATGGGGATTTTTGTTGGCTATTCAGTATGTGCTTATTTTCTAGAGTACATCTCGTTTCATTCTGTCAGTAGGGTTCAAGTGATTTTTGTAGGAGCCGTTTGATTCTGTCAGTAGGGTTCAAGTAATTTTTGTAGGAACCGTTTGATTCTGTCAGTAGGGATAAGGTAATTTTTGTAGGAACCGTTTGATTCTGTCAGTAGGGTTCAAGCAATTTTTGTAGGAACCGTTTGATTCAGTCAGTAGGGTTCAAGCAATTTTTGTAGGAACCGTTTGATTCTGTCAGTAGAAACCAAGTACTTTTAAAAAACTAACCGCCAGGAATGCCGTTGGGGACGGTTGTTGTTTCAGTGTTGGCCTCAGCTGACGTTGGGTCAGCTATGACAAAATCAACCGGTAGGTGGAGCTTCACGTTCCTCTCTTTAGCTTTTTCAATGACGTCATTCACAGATTTAGCGGCCTCTGGGTCGAAGGGGGACAGGCCAATGTCCATGCCGAACAGTTCCTTCAAGAAGGTGAAGGCGATATCTGTACACAGGTATACAACATTTCAAGAAGGTCAAGGCGATATCTGTACACAGGTATACAACATTTAAAAGAAGGTCAAGGCGATATCTGTACACAGGTATACAACATTTCAAGAAGGTGAAGGCGATATCTGTACACAGGTAGGCCTATACAACATTTCAAGAAGGTGAAGGCGATATATGTACACAGGTATACAACATTTCAAGAAGGTGAAGGCGATATCTGTACACAGGTATACAACATTTCAAGAAGGTCAAGGCGATATCTGTACACAGGTATACAACATTTCAAGAAGGTCAAGGCGATATCTGTACACAGGTATACAACATTTCAAGAAGGTGAAGGCGATATATGTACACAGGTATACAACATTTCAAGAAGGTGAAGGCGATATCTGTACACAGGTATACAACATTTCAAGAAGGTGAAGGCGATATCTGTACACAGGTATACAACATTTCAAGAAGGTGAGGTCGATATCTGTACACAGGTATACAACATTTCAAGAAGGTGAAGGCGATATCTGTACACATGTATACAACATTTCAAGAAGGTGAAGGCGATATCTGTACACAGGTATACAACATTTCAAGAAGGTCAAGGCGATATCTGTACACAGGTATACAACATTTCAAGGTGAAGGCGATATATGTACACAGGTAGGCCTATACAACATTTCAAGAAGGTGAAGGCGATATCTGTACACAGGTATACAACATTTCAAGAAGGTGAAGGCGATATCTGTACACAGGTATACAACATTTCAAGAAGGTGAAGGCGATATCTGTACACAGGTATACAACATTTCAAGAAGGTGAGGTCGATATCTGTACACAGGTATACAACATTTCAAGGTGAAGGCGATATCTGTACACAGGTATACAACATTTCAAGAAGGTGAAGGCGATATCTGTACACAGGTATACAACATTTCAAGAAGGTCAAGGCGATATCTGTACACAGGTATACAACATTTCAAGGTGAAGGCGATATCTGTACACAGGTATACAACATTTCAAGAAGGTGAAGGCGATATCTGTACACAGGTATACAACATTTCAAGAAGGTCAAGGCGATATCTGTACACAGGTATACAACATTTCAAGGTGAAGGCGATATATGTACACAGGTAGGCCTATACAACATTTCAAGAAGGTGAAGGCGATATCTGTACACAGGTATACAACATTTCAAGAAGGTCAAGGCGATATCTGTACACAGGTATACAACATTTCAAGGTGAAGGCGATATATGTACACAGGTAGGCCTATACAACATTTCAAGAAGGTGAAGGCGATATCTGTACACAGGTATACAACATTTCAAGAAGGTGAAGGCGATATCTGTACACAGGTATACAACATTTCAAGAAGGTGAGGTCGATATCTGTACACAGGTATACAACATTTCAAGGTGAAGGCGATATCTGTACACAGGTATACAACATTTCAAGGTGAAGGCGATATATGTACACAGGTATACAACATTTCAAGGTCAAGGCGATATCTGTACACAGGTATACAACATTTCAAGAAGGTCAAGGCGATATCTGTACACAGGTATACAACATTTCAAGAAGGTGAAGGCGATATCTGTACACAGGCATACAACATTTCAAGGTGAAGGCGATATCTGTACACAGGTATACAACATTTCAAGGTGAAGGCGATATCTGTACACAGGTATACAACATTTCAAGAAGGTCAAGGCGATATCTGTACACAGGTATACAACATTTCAAGGTGAAGGCGATATATGTACACAGGTAGGCCTATACAACATTTCAAGAAGGTGAAGGCGATATCTGTACACAGGTATACAACATTTCAAGGTGAAGGCGATATCTGTACACAGGTATACAACATTTCAAGGTGAAGGCGATATCTGTACACAGGTATACAACATTTCAAGGTCAAGGCGATATCTGTACACAGGCATACAACATTTCAAGAAGGTCAAGGCGATATCTGTACACAGGTATACAACATTTCAAGGTGAAGGCGATATCTGTACACAGGTATACAACATTTCAAGAAGGTCAAGGCGATATCTGTACACAGGTATACAACATTTCAAGAAGGTGAAGGCGATATCTGTACACAGGTATACAACATTTCAAGGTGAAGGCGATATCTGTACACAGGCATACAACATTTCAAGAAGGTCAAGGCGATATCTGTACACAGGTATACAACATTTCAAGAAGGTGAAGGCGATATCTGTACACAGGTATACAACATTTCAAGAAGGTGAGGTCGATATCTGTACACATGTATACAACATTTCAAGAAGGTGAAGGCGATATCTGTACACAGGTATACAACATTTCAAGAAGGTGAAGGCGATATCTGTACACAGGTATACAACATTTCAAGAAGGTCAAGGCGATATCTGTACACAGGTATACAACATTTCAAGAAGGTCAAGGCGATATATGTACACAGGTATACAACATTTCAAGAAGGTCAAGGCGATATCTGTACACAGGTATACAACATTTCAAGAAGGTGAAGGCGATATCTGTACACAGGTATACAACATTTCAAGAAGGTGAAGGCGATATCTGTACACAGGTATACAACATTTCAAGAAGGTGAAGGCGATATCTGTACACAGGTATACAACATTTCAAGAAGGTGAGGTCGATATCTGTACACAGGTATACAACATTTCAAGAAGGTGAGGTCGATATCTGTACACATGTATACAACATTTCAAGAAGGTGAAGGCGATATCTGTACACAGGTATACAACATTTCAAGGTCAAGGCGATATCTGTACACAGGTATACAACATTTCAAGGTGAAGGCGATATATGTACACAGGTAGGCCTATACAACATTTCAAGAAGGTGAAGGCGATATATGTACACAGGTATACAACATTTCAAGAAGGTGAAGGCGATATCTGTACACAGGTATACAACATTTCAAGAAGGTGAAGGCGATATCTGTACACAGGTATACAACATTTCAAGAAGGTGAAGGCGATATCTGTACACAGGTATACAACATTTCAAGAAGGTGAAGGCGATATCTGTACACAGGTATACAACATTTCAAGAAGGTGAAGGCGATATCTGTACACAGGTATACAACATTTCAAGAAAGTGAAGGCGATATCTGTACACAGGTATACAACATTTCAAGGTGAAGGCGATATCTGTACACAGGTATACAACATTTCAAGAAGGTGAGGTCGATATCTGTACACAGGTATACAACATTTCAAGGTGAAGGCGATATCTGTACACAGGTATACAACATTTCAAGGTGAAGGCGATATATGTACACAGGTATACAACATTTCAAGGTCAAGGCGATATCTGTACACAGGTATACAACATTTCAAGAAGGTCAAGGCGATATCTGTACACAGGTATACAACATTTCAAGAAGGTGAAGGCGATATCTGTACACAGGCATACAACATTTCAAGGTGAAGGCGATATCTGTACACAGGTATACAACATTTCAAGGTGAAGGCGATATCTGTACACAGGTATACAACATTTCAAGAAGGTCAAGGCGATATCTGTACACAGGTATACAACATTTCAAGGTGAAGGCGATATATGTACACAGGTAGGCCTATACAACATTTCAAGAAGGTGAAGGCGATATCTGTACACAGGTATACAACATTTCAAGGTGAAGGCGATATCTGTACACAGGTATACAACATTTCAAGGTGAAGGCGATATCTGTACACAGGTATACAACATTTCAAGGTCAAGGCGATATCTGTACACAGGCATACAACATTTCAAGAAGGTCAAGGCGATATCTGTACACAGGTATACAACATTTCAAGGTGAAGGCGATATCTGTACACAGGTATACAACATTTCAAGAAGGTCAAGGCGATATCTGTACACAGGTATACAACATTTCAAGAAGGTGAAGGCGATATCTGTACACAGGTATACAACATTTCAAGGTGAAGGCGATATCTGTACACAGGCATACAACATTTCAAGAAGGTCAAGGCGATATCTGTACACAGGTATACAACATTTCAAGAAGGTGAAGGCGATATCTGTACACAGGTATACAACATTTCAAGAAGGTGAGGTCGATATCTGTACACATGTATACAACATTTCAAGAAGGTGAAGGCGATATCTGTACACAGGTATACAACATTTCAAGAAGGTGAAGGCGATATCTGTACACAGGTATACAACATTTCAAGAAGGTCAAGGCGATATCTGTACACAGGTATACAACATTTCAAGAAGGTCAAGGCGATATATGTACACAGGTATACAACATTTCAAGAAGGTCAAGGCGATATCTGTACACAGGTATACAACATTTCAAGAAGGTGAAGGCGATATCTGTACACAGGTATACAACATTTCAAGAAGGTGAAGGCGATATCTGTACACAGGTATACAACATTTCAAGAAGGTGAAGGCGATATCTGTACACAGGTATACAACATTTCAAGAAGGTGAGGTCGATATCTGTACACAGGTATACAACATTTCAAGAAGGTGAGGTCGATATCTGTACACATGTATACAACATTTCAAGAAGGTGAAGGCGATATCTGTACACAGGTATACAACATTTCAAGGTCAAGGCGATATCTGTACACAGGTATACAACATTTCAAGGTGAAGGCGATATATGTACACAGGTAGGCCTATACAACATTTCAAGAAGGTGAAGGCGATATCTGTACACAGGTATACAACATTTCAAGAAAGTGAAGGCGATATCTGTACACAGGTATACAACATTTCAAGGTGAAGGCGATATCTGTACACAGGTATACAACATTTCAAGAAGGTGAAGGCGATATCTGTACACAGGTATACAACATTTCAAGAAGGTGAAGGCGATATCTGTACACAGGTATACAACATTTCAAGAAGGTGAAGGCGATATCTGTACACAGGTATACAACATTTCAAGAAGGTGAAGGCGATATCTGTACACAGGTATACAACATTTCAAGAAGGTGAAGGCGATATCTGTACACAGGTATACAACATTTCAAGAAGGTCAAGGCGATATCTGTACACAGGTATACAACATTTCAAGAAGGTCAAGGCGATATCTGTACACAGGTATACAACATTTCAAGAAGGTCAAGGCGATATCTGTACACAGGTATACAACATTTCAAGAAGGTGAAGGCGATATCTGTACACAGGTATACAACATTTCAAGAAGGGGAAGGCGATATCTGTACACAGGTATACAACATTTCAAGAAGGTCAAGGTGATATCTGTACACAGGTATACAACATTTCAAGAAGGTGAGGTCGATATCTGTACACAGGTATACAACATTTCAAGAAGGTGAGGTCGATATCTGTACACATGTATACAACATTTCAAGAAGGTGAAGGCGATATCTGTACACAGGTATACAACATTTCAAGGTCAAGGCGATATCTGTACACAGGTATACAACATTTCAAGGTGAAGGCGATATATGTACACAGGTAGGCCTATACAACATTTCAAGAAGGTGAAGGCGATATATGTACACAGGTATACAACATTTCAAGAAGGTGAAGGCGATATCTGTACACAGGTATACAACATTTCAAGAACCAAGGTACATTAAATTTGAAGCAGTTTTTAAAGAATAGCTAGTGAAGGTTTTCAAGAACCATTGTACATTTTATTTCACGAAATTTTTAAATAATAGCTATCGAAATTTTTGTTTTATTTAATACAGCATACTTGAACAAAGTGGAGGAATAATTTAAAGGCCGATGCTAGTCGGAATGAGATACGCATGCGATAAGCATGCGCAATGGAGAGATACTACGACATCGCGGCGATGTTTTCGATGGTACTGCGCATGCGTGTGTTTACAACCTCAGACCCCGAACACCAACCCTAATCCTAACCCTATCCCTAATCCTATCCCTTACCCTAACCCTAGTCCTAATCATATCCCTAGCCCTAATCCTATCCCTAACCCTATCCCTAACCCTAATCCTCATTCTAGCCCTAACCCTAGCCATAGGTCACTGCGCATGCGGAGAGCTATCTTTTGCCGACTAAGTAGAGACGTTGGGGAGAAAAATCTTCCGAGTAGTCACTTCGTAATTTAAAATGACATCAATAAAGTAGTCAGGTTTGAAAATCCCTTACTGTGAATCTGACAATATCTTAACATTGCCACGTCATTAAAAAATTGTTAATTAATTAGCTATGTTACCACCACGTACTTCCGGTGATAATTAGCTCATCAACTTTCTCCAGAAGGTTCTCGATCAGAGGCATCTTGTTGGCCGTGTCCACCCCGCCCACAATGGCCAGTAGGGGTCGGGTTGGCTGGTACAACACCTGCTGCAGGGGTTGCAGCTCCCGCCCCATGAGCAACCCGCCGGCCATCTGGCGCTTGTTGATGCCCACGATGGAGCTGTCGTTCCTGTACGACAGGCTGTAGCTGTCGTTGATGTACACGTCACCAAGCTTGTTCAGTGCGTTCCTGGGGAGTCGTTGGCAATACAGACTTTAGAGAATAGGGTCGTCAGGGGCAGATCGGGCGGGGGAGGGGGGCTAGATATCCATCTAACTAATTCTAATCTGAGTATTTTAGATTTTTTATTAACAAGCCCTATATAAAACATGTAAATTGTCGAGTTTGCAGTGTATTATTATGGTATAATGTTGGGGTTAGTTAAACTTAGAAGAAAACTCTAATTTATATTATTATATTCATCAATTAATAGGACCACAAATTGGATTTAATATAAAATAGTTATATATTTTTTTACATAAAATTTATTGTTAGCCTCTTGTGTCTTGGGCAATTAGTAACCTCGTACGTCATTTTCTCACCTGAACTCTCGAACACTCCCTGGGGTTGGCGTGAAGTCCTCACCCCCGGGGGATTTCCCTTTGCCCACCTCCTCTGGGTGGAAGCGTAGATTCTCTAGAACAATCACAGACCCGGGCCAGGGAACCTCGCAGGCGGCCTCAACATCCGGCCCCACACAGTCGGGGAGGAAGGTGACCGTCACCCCCAGCAGGGCCTCCAGCTCCTCAGCCACGGGCCTCAGGGAGTACCTCTCCACCACCCTACCCTCGGGGTGTCCCAGGTGCCCCATGACCACAACAGATCTGGCTCCCTTCTCCAGCGCGAGCCTGATCGTGGGGATAGCTGCCTGTAGCTTGCTGTTGTCTGCGACCACGCCCTTCTTGAGCGGCACGTTCAGGTCAGCACGGAGTAGCACGCGCTTGTCGTTCAGAGAACACTGGTCAATCGTGAGCCTTTCCAGGTCTACCTACACATAAAACACAGTCATGTGGCTATCTTTGGGGCACTAGTTCATCTATCTAGGTCTACCTACACATAAAACACAGTCATGTGGCTATCTATGGGGCACTAGTTCATCTTTCCAGGTCTACCTACACATAAAACACAGTCATGTGGCTATCTTTGGGGCACTAGTTCATCTTTCAATGTCTACCTACACATAAAACACAGTCATGTGGCTATCTTTGGGGCACTAGTTCATCTTTCCAGGTCTACCTACACATAAAACACAGTCATGTGGCTATCTTTGGGGCACTAGTTCATCTTTCAATGTCTACCTACACATAAAACACAGTCATGTGGCTATCTATGGGGCACTAGTTCATCTTTCCAGGTCTACCTACACATAAAACACAGTCATGTGGCTATCTTTGGGGCACTAGTTCATCTATCTAGGTCTACCTACACATAAAACACAGTCATGTGGCTATCTTTGGGGCACTAGTTCATCTATCTAGGTCTACCTACACATAAAACACAGTCATGTGGCTATCTTTGGGGCACTAGTTCATCTTTCTAGGTCTACCTACACATAAAACACAGTCATGTGGCTATCTTTGGGGCACTAGTTCATCTTTCAATGTCTACCTACACATAAAACACAGTCATGTGGCTATCTTTGGGGCACTAGTTCATCTTTCAATGTCTACCTACACATAAAACACAGTCATGTGGCTATCTTTGGGGCACTAGTTCATCTATCTAGGTCTACCTACACATAAAACACAGTCATGTGGCTATCTTTGGGGCACTAGTTCATCTATCTAGGTCTACCTACACATAAAACACAGTCATGTGGCTATCTTTGGGGCACTAGTTCATCTTTCTAGGTCTACCTACACATAAAACACAGTCATGTGGCTATCTTTGGGGCACTAGTTCATCTTTCAATGTCTACCTACACATAAAACACAGTCATGTGGCTATCTTTGGGGCACTAGTTCATCTTTCAATGTCTACCTACACATAAAACACAGTCATGTGGCTATCTTTGGGGCACTAGTTCATCTATCTAGGTCTACCTACACATAAAACACAGTCATGTGGCTATCTTTGGGGCACTAGTTCATCTATCTAGGTCTACCTACACATAAAACACAGTCATGTGGCTATCTTTGGGGCACTAGTTCATCTTTCAATGTCTACCTACACATAAAACACAGTCATGTGGCTATCTTTGGGGCACTAGTTCATCTTTCAATGTCTACCTACACATAAAACACAGTCATGTGGCTATCTTTGGGGCACTAGTTCATCTTTCAATGTCTACCTACACATAAAACACAGTCATGTGGCTATCTATGGGGCACTAGTTCATCTTTCAATGTCTACCTACACATAAAACACAGTCATGTGGCTATCTTTGGGGCACTAGTTCATCTTTCAATGTCTACCTACACATAAAACACAGTCATGTGGCTATCTTTGGGGCACTAGTTCATCTTTCAATGTCTACCTACACATAAAACACAGTCATGTGGCTATCTATGGGGCACTAGTTCATCTTTCAATGTCTACCTACACATAAAACACAGTCATGTGGCTATCTTTGGGGCACTAGTTCATCTTTCAATGTCTACCTACACATAAAACACAGTCATATGGCTATCTATGGGGCACTAGTTCATCTTTCAATGTCTACCTACACATAAAACACAGTCATGTGGCTATCTTTGGGGCACTAGTTCATCTTTCAATGTCTACCTACACATAAAACACAGTCATGTGGCTATCTTTGGGGCACTAGTTCATCTTTCAATGTCTACCTACACATAAAACACAGTCATGTGGCTATCTTTGGGGCACTAGTTCATCTTTCAATGTCTACCTACACATAAAACACAGTCATGTGGCTATCTTTGGGGCACTAGTTCATCTTTCAATGTCTACCTACACATAAAACACAGTCATGTGGCTATCTTTGGGGCACTAGTTCATCTTTCAATGTCTACCTACACATAAAACACAGTCATGTGGCTATCTATGGGGCACTAGTTCATCTTTCAATGTCTACCTACACATAAAACACAGTCATGTGGCTATCTTTGGGGCACTAGTTCATCTTTCAATGTCTACCTACACATAAAACACAGTCATATGGCTATCTTTGGGGCACTAGTTCATCTTTCAATGTCTACCTACACATAAAACACAGTCATGTGGCTATCTTTGGGGCACTAGTTCATCTTTCAATGTCTACCTACACATAAAACACAGTCATGTGGCTATCTATGGGGCACTAGTTCATCTATCTAGGTCTACCTACACATAAAACACAGTCATGTGGCTATCTTTGGGGCACTAGTTCATCTTTCAATGTCTACCTACACATAAAACACAGTCATGTGGCTATCTTTGGGGCACTAGTTCATCTTTCAATGTCTACCTACACATAAAACACAGTCATATGGCTATCTTTGGGGCACTAGTTCATCTTTCAATGTCTACCTACACATAAAACACAGTCATGTGGCTATCTTTGGGGCACTAGTTCATCTTTCAATGTCTACCTACACATAAAACACAGTCATGTGGCTATCTATGGGGCACTAGTTCATCTATCTAGGTCTACCTACACATAAAACACAGTCATGTGGCTATCTTTGGGGCACTAGTTCATCTATCTAGGTCTACCTACACATAAAACACAGTCATGTGGCTATCTTTGGGGCACTAGTTCATCTTTCCAGGTCTACCTACACATAAAACACAGTCATGTGGCTATCTTTGGGGCACTAGTTCATCTTTCAATGTCTACCTACACATAAAACACAGTCATGTGGCTATCTATGGGGCACTAGTTCATCTTTCAATGTCTACCTACACATAAAACACAGTCATGTGGCTATCTTTGGGGCACTAGTTCATCTTTCAATGTCTACCTACACATAAAACACAGTCATATGGCTATCTTTGGGGCACTAGTTCATCTTTCAATGTCTACCTACACATAAAACACAGTCATGTGGCTATCTTTGGGGCACTAGTTCATCTTTCAATGTCTACCTACACATAAAACACAGTCATGTGGCTATCTATGGGGCACTAGTTCATCTATCTAGGTCTACCTACACATAAAACACAGTCATGTGGCTATCTTTGGGGCACTAGTTCATCTATCTAGGTCTACCTACACATAAAACACAGTCATGTGGCTATCTTTGGGGCACTAGTTCATCTTTCCAGGTCTACCTACACATAAAACACAGTCATGTGGCTATCTTTGGGGCACTAGTTCATCTTTCAATGTCTACCTACACATAAAACACAGTCATGTGGCTATCTTTGGGGCACTAGTTCATCTATCTAGGTCTACCTACACATAAAACACAGTCATGTGGCTATCTATGGGGCACTAGTTCATCTATCTAGGTCTACATACACATAAAACACAGTCACGTGGCTATCTTTGGGGCACTAGTTCATCTATCTAGGTCTACCTACACATAAAACACAGTCATGTGGCTATCTATGGGGCACTAGTTCATCTATCTAGGTCTACCTACACATAAAACACAGTCATGTGGCTATCTTTGGGGCACTAGTTCATCTATCTAGGTCTACCTACACATAAAACACAGTCATGTGGCTATCTTTGGGGCACTAGTTCATCTTTCAATGTCTACCTACACATAAAACACAGTCATGTGGCTATCTTTGGGGCACTAGTTCATCTTTCCAGGTCTACCTACACATAAAACACAGTCATGTGGCTATCTTTGGGGCAGTTTGTTATCCTAGCAATACAGGATTAACATTAAAAGTGTGCGATCGTGTCATTAATTGAAGTTTAATGAGGCGTGGTGTTGGGACGCAGTGCAGCAGTTAGAATGATGACAGATGTGATATATAAATACAGCCCAGCGGCAGTTGCCAATGCTTCCCCCAGTTAGCCAGTGATTATATCAGTGATGTTGTACCACACCAACCTACAACATTCGTGTGAAACAAGTCCATTGCACCGTCTACCATCTAGTTGTAGCCTATCATGTAATGTTTACACTAAAGCTAAAGACAATGTGACCTATGACCCACACACCTTAAGTTTTGGGTTGATTGACTAAAGACAGTGTGACCTATGACCCACACACCTTAAGTTTTGGGTTGATTGACTAAAGACAGTGTGACCTATGACCCACACACCTTAAGTTTTGGGTTGATTGACTAAAGACAGTCTGACCTATGACCCACACACCTTAAGTTTTGGGTTGATTGACTAAAGACAGTGTGACCTATGACCCACACACCTTAAGTTTTGGATTGATTGACAGGGGCTCTATGCCCCACCCACCTTAAGTTTTGGGTTGATTGACAGGGACTCAATGCCAGGCAGTATCTTGCCCTCCAGCAGCTCCAGACTGGCCCCGCCCCCTGTACTGACATGTGTCACCGTGTCCTCGGCCTTGAACTTCTTGGCACATGTGGCAGTATCACCTCCACCGATGATGGTCACCGCACCCTTTCTTGTTGCCTGACCAAGGAACACATCAACAACATGGAGTTTTTTAGTTGTTAAAAGTCCGGAAGTAAAGGAATATTGATGGTAGACAACCACTAACGCTACGATAGTCAATAAAAATGACCACTGACACGACAATGGTCAATGTAAATGACCACCACTGACACGACAATGGTAAGTAAAAATTACCACTGACACGACAATGGTCAATGAAAATGACAACTGACAATACGATAGTCAATGACATGACCACTGACACGACAATGGTCAATGGAAATTAGCACTGACACGACAATGGTCAATGGAAATGACCACTGACACGACAATGGTCAATGGAAATGACCACTGACACGACAATGGTCAATACAAATAACCACTGACACCATCTCACCTTGGCGACAGCGGCCATCATGGCTTCTGTCCCCTGAGAAAACTTGTCCCACTCAAAGACACCAGGCGGACCGTTCCATACAATGGTCTGGGCACTGCTGATGACGTCAGCAAACTTGGCACTAGTTGTCTCCCCTACGTCTAATCCCATCATTCCTACAAGTCAATAATTCCAAAGTTTCAAACAAACAAACAAACAAACAAACGTACAGCATTTACAAGTCTTATACTTTAACTTAGCTCAGACTGTAAACAACATAGTTATACTCATTTATGTTTGTTTTCACGGCCGTAACCTTAAAAAATCTTGGGATAGACTAATCAATGTACCTTCGGTTTAAAAATCTTGAGATAGACTCATCAATGTACCTTCTTTTAAAAATCTTGAGATAGACTTATCAATGTACCTTCGATTTAAAACATCTTGGGATAGACTAGTCAATGTACTTTCGGTTTAAAAAAAACTTGGGATAGACTAGTCAATGTACCTTCGGTTTAAAAATCTTGAGATAGACTTATCAATGTACCTTCGGTTTAAAAATTTTGGGATAGACTAATCAATGTACCTTCGGGAATTCCCTGTTGAAGATCGGATTTCCCCGAATTGGCGTCCTGAGAAAAAGCGTCAGCCACGATGAAGTCGACTGGGAGATGTATGGTCACGTTGTTCTCCCTCGCCTTCTCCATCAGATGGGGGACGATCTTAGAGCCCTCTTCGTCAAACAGCGAGTCTCCTATGGGCATGTCGTCTAGCACCTGGGGTGGTAGGACAACATAGGTCAAGGTCAACTTTGGAAAATTCCATAGAATAAAACAACATACAATGTTTTCGTATAAAATGCATATTTGGGTGTTGTGGCGATAGAAGAAATCTAGTTAATCCCTCTAGTTATAGTTATACTAATGCACTAGTAATTAACCATAAAAAATGTGTATTGTATTTTTGTCAAACGCTAATTATTTTAATTAACCATGGTGATTTTGTCTATACAGACTTTATAAGCTGATATTCCAAACTGTCCACCTCCCCCCTTTTCCACACCCGCTGCGGGCGGTTATTGAATGGCTACTTCAGCAGATGAGTACCTTTAGAAAGGTGAAGGCCATCCCGCCTCCAATGATCATGGCATCAACAGTGTCGAGCAGGTTCTCTATCAAAAGGATTTTGTCCGAGACTTTCGCCCCTCCCAAGATGGCGAGCAGTGGACGTTTTGGGCTCTCGAGAACTTTGGAGAAACTCAGCACTTCTTTCTTCATCAACAGTCCTGAAAGGTGATACAAGCTTCGTAAAGGGTAGAATTTCCTAGTGTAAAAATATGTGAAGAATGTAGCTAAAAATATTAAAAGACTTCAAAACTAAGAATTTTTAGAAACAGTAAAATTAAAGAATCAGCTGACCATTCAGGTTTAAAACTAGAACCAACAAGTCTCACAAAGTTCTAGAACCAAAAAGTCTCACAGACAAAGTTCTAGAACCAACAAGTCTCACAGACCAAGTCCTAGAACCAACAAGCCCCATAGATCAAGTTCTAGAATCAACAAGTCCCACAGGCCAAGTTCTAGAACCAAAAAGTCTCAAATGCCAAGTTCTAGAACCAACAAGTATCACAGACCAAGTTCTAGAACCAACAAGTATCACAGACCAAGTCCTAGAACCAACAAGCCCCATAGATCAAGTTCTAGAATCAACAAGTCCCACAGGCCAAGTTCTAGAACCAAAAAGTCTCAAATGCCAAGTTCTAGAACCAACAAGTATCACAAAGTTCTAGAACCAACAAGTCCCACAGACCAAGTTCTAGAACCAGGCCCCCCCCCCCCTCACAACTTACCTGCGGCCCTCACAGCCAGGTTACAGCCCACGACGGAGCTGTGGGCGCGGTGGGCGGTACCAAAAGCGTCGTTGACGTAGACGTCGCCCAGCCTGGTCAGTGACTCCCTGAAGGCCTTGACCTCTTCTGGTGTCGCGGTGACCTTCTTGCCCTCATCGTTGAGACCTTTGCCTTCCTCTTCCACATGAAACCTACGGCAAGAGTAGCGTGTAGCATGTAACATGTAGCTTTTAGCATAAGACAACCCGATATTTAACCAACCTAAGATCCAATAAGACAACCCTCTACTTGACCAACCTTAGATCCCATAAGACAACCCGATACATGACCAACCTAAGATCCTATAAGACAACCCGATATTTGACCAACCTAAGATCCCATAAGACAACCCGATATTTGACTAACCTAAGATCCCATAAGACAACCCGATATTTAACCAACCTAAGTTCCCATAAGACAACCTGATATTCGACCAACTTAAGTTCCCATAAGACAACCCGTTATTTGACCAACCTAAGATCCAATAAGACAACCCGATATTTAACCAACCTAAGTTCCCATAAGACAACCCTCTATTTGACTAACCTAAGATCCCATAAGACAACCCGATATTTGGCCAACCTTAGGTCCCATAAGACAACCCGATATTTGGCCAACCTTAAATTCTCCAACAGTATAACACTTCCGGGTCGAGGGTCGGCACACGCCTCTTCAACTTCCGGTCCCACGCAGTCGTTGAGGAATGTCACCGGCTTCTTCAGGAGTCTCTGCAGTTCTTGGGCTACAGGCTCGAGTGTAAATTCGGGAACCACGTGACCGTCTGGTCGGCCTAGATGGCTCATCAGCACAACGGCCTTGGCCTCTGCAATAGAATCATGTCGAGCCTTAGGTCAAGTTTCAGGACAGAAGAAGGGTTTCTTTCGGATATTTTTCTCCGGGGAGCGGTAAAAACGTTCTGTGATAGTGGACACTGGTTATAGTATATACACATCCACCCCCCCCCCCCCCCACACACACACACTCTTCTGATCAACAAAAAAAAATACATAATTTATATAGACATAATTTTTCTAGTTAATTACGGAGGGAGGGGGGGTGGTTCCGGCTGTGCCTTCCCCCTCACCACCCACAGAAAAATGCCTGAAAGAAACACTTCTAAGATGGTCATCTCTGGTCATTTATTAAAGTAATGTCTATTTCTAAAGTAAAATAATCTAAGCATGACCATAATTACTGACTGGTCGTTCTTCATCATTCATGATTAAAGATATTTATGAGTCAGAAAAAAATGGGTTTTAAAGCATACTAGATGGTATAGACTATAACATAACATACTTGAGGGTATAGACTGCAGCCTACTTGTATAGACAAGCCAACTTACTGTGTTTTAAAGCTTTTTTGATGGTTGGTATAGCTGCCTCAATCCTTTGTGTGTTGGTGATTTGACCGTCGGCCATGGGGACGTTGAAGTCGACCCTCATCAGCACCCTCTTGTTGGCCAGAGTACACTGGTCAATGCACAGCTTACTGGATAGGTTGACCTGCATGACGTCACATAGGTGGGGATACACAGGTAAATTATGGTGGCAGGTACCTAGATGGTAGTCACTGAGGTGTGCTAAGGTTATGGGGAGCTATGCCACATGCAGTATGTATACTGTACTATGTATGGTAACTATGAATTGGGTATAATGTAATCTGTATACTGTACTATGTATGGTAACTATGAATTGGGTATAATGTAATCTGTATACAGTGTATGGTAGCTATGAGTCTGGTATAACAGGTAACTGTGACATGAGTGACGTTGTGTACGTGAAGGATATAGGTAATTGGGATATGCAGATTATAACACGAAGCAGTTGTGTTAAGTATTGTTGGAAACTTAGCCTTGCTACCTAGCAGTGACATGCTATCTGTGCTGAGTGTTATGTTTGTTAGTATAAGATATGTGAATTTAGTGGGGTAAAGAGCTAGGTAACCTCAATGTAGCCTGCGTTCAGCCCATTTAAATCTTTGTAAACCCCAGTTTAACCAGAGTTGAGCTTAAGTTAAACCCCGTCTAAACCCCAGTTTCACCTGAGTTCATCTCGAGCCAAACCCCGGCTAAACCCTAGTTTAACCAGACTTGAGGTTAAGTTAAACCCCAGCTAAACCCGCCAATTCTACTCACCGCACGTGACCGCGGTACGGACGGCAGCGACGGCACCGACACGACGTCCTCCTCCTCTGTCTCCATTGGCTGCTGGTCATTGACCGACTCGCCGTCGGTAGTGACGTCACCTGGTAAATACGTCACGGGACTGGCTGATACCTATTTATATTGGGGGATCTATCGGCTTACTGGGGTCAGTTCAACGTCCAGTCGTCTTTACTTTCCCTACTTGTGTTAGGTAGCCATCAAAGGAGTTGTCAAGTCATGTGACAGCTATTTATATGCTAATGTAAACTATTCGCTCTTTCTTGGATAATGTTCACTAAGCGAAGTATTGGAACTTTAAGTTACTTAAACCCTAACAGGCCAGGTCACTAACCCTAACAGGCCAGGTCACTAACCCTAACAGCCCGGGTCACTAACCCTATCAGACCGGGTCACTAACCCTAACAGCCCGGGTCATCTAGACCCTATCAGCGGGGTCAGCTAACGTTACCTTCCACCGGCGCCTCCTCTGCAGCGTTCCTGTTGGCATCAGTCCTCACGATGCTGGTCTCGCTTGACCCTAGCTTGTGGTCATCACTGGACACCAGGCTGTTCCCATCCTGGGCGGACATGTTGTTGCCCTCGTTAAAGTTGACGCCATTGGTAGGCCCGGTGTGGCCGCCATTGGTTGGCCCAATGTGGCCGCCATTGGTTGGCCCGAGGTGGCCGCCATTGGTTGGCCCGAGGTGGCCGCCATTGGTTGGCCCGAGGTGGCCACCATTGGTTGGCCCAATGTGGCCGCTATCGTGGGAGATGGATCGTATTTTTCGGGGTAGATTGGCTTTCATGTTGGGGTCTGTGTGTGAGGGGCTGTGTTCTCTAGACCTTTGGCTGATGTGTTCCCTTGAATGTTGACTGTGTTCCCTTGAATGTTGGTCACTATGTTCCTTAGATCTTTGGCTGCTATGTTCCCGTGGTTGCTGGCTGTGTTCCCGTGGTTGTTGGCTGTGTTCCCGTGGTTGTTGGCTGTGTTCCCGTGGTTGTTGGCTGTGTTCCCGTGAATGTTGGTCACTATGTTCCCTAGATCTTTGGCTGCTGTGTTCCCGTGGTTGTTGGCTGTGTTCCCGTGGTTGCTGGCTGTGTTCCCGTGGTTGTTGGCTGTGTTCCCGTGGTTGTTGGCTGTGTTCCCGTGGTTGCTGGCTGTGTTCCCGTGGTTGTTGGCTGTGTTCCCGTGGTTGCTGGCTGTGTTCCCGTGGTTGCTGGCTGCTATGTTCCCTTTCCCCCAGGTGCCAGCCCGCCCTAGACTCTGCTTTGCTGCCTTCACTGGACGCCCTTGACCTTTGACTGGCTCCACCCCCAGTATCGGAAGCTGGCTCTCGCAATCGGCTGACCCTCAAGTCCTGCTCCTCCTTGACCTTTGACCTCAGCTCGTCCTCCCTCTCCCCGCGGCTTGTCTTGTCCTGCACCAGGTCCTGGTCCTGGAACATTTCCGTTAAAGAGACCAACGTACTGTCCTCCCGCTGACTGCCCCTGGGGACCGTGCTGTCGGTTACGTAGACCGGGGGGTCGTCCCCTGCCCAGGACTTGGTCTGACTCTCCAGCTCCGTGACGCTACTCACCGGGGTGGGGTTCATGTCACTATCGCTCGAGTACACGACTTCCGGGTCAACATTCGATTCGCTCTCACTGGAGAAGATGACTTCAACTGGGTCAACAGGACTTCCCTCATCGCCATCTTTTCTCTTTGCTTGAAGCCGAGAGTTTACTTTCGTTTTCTTCAGACTTTGCTGTTTAATTCTTCCGGTGCCATCCAGTTTGTTTATATCAGACGGCTCCAATGTGTGTCTTATGGCTGTCTTGTCCTGAGACATCAGAGACCCTAGGACGGGGTGGGTTTTAGTGCTGGGCCGGTATCTGTAGGATTTTGTCTTGGCAGTTTCTGATCGGTCGTGCTTTGCCTTGTCGGTAGAGTTGGGGATCGCTGTCTGCAAACAATACAGAAATCAGAGAAAAATTGTGACGTGTACATGTAAATACATGCATTAACGCAGGACAGACAGACAGACAGACAGACAGACAGACAGACAGACAGAGAGACAGACAGACAGACAGACAGACAGACAGACAGACAGACAGACAGACAGACAGACAGACAGACAGACAGACAGACAGACAGACAGACAGACAGACAGACAGACAGACAGACAGACAGACAGACAGACAGACAGACAGACAGACAGACAGACAGACAGACAGACAGACAGACAGACAGACAGACAGACAGACAGACAGACAGACAGACAGACAGACAGACCGCAAGCTCCTCCACAAATTCATCAATAGAAACGAGGTCCCCGCGTGTGTCCTCATCGTTATCGTCAATAACGCTCGTATCATCGCCATGATCGTCTATGACCGCCACGTCGTTGTCGATGGTTGTATCGTCCCACGTGTCCGGGTCGTCACCTTTGGCCACCTTCCCAGGATCACCAATTAAGAAGGTGTCACCACACACCTGACTGGTGTCACAAGAATAGCCTGTACAGGAGGTGAGACACGGGCTTAGCGTACAGGTGTATACAGGTACTCAGGTGGTGTCACTGTACGTGGTGTAATAGCTTACATATTATTACAGATGTAATCGTGATTAATTGTCTTATTATAGTAAACATTTTGTGTGTGCTATGGATTCCACAGTTTGACATTTTAAATATAAATTAATAGCTCGTATAAGTTCTTTTTGAAGTATGTAAGGGAACCTACTCGGCTCAGACACGTTTATGTAAGAGAACCTACTCGGCTCAGACAAGTTTATGTAAGGGAACCTACTCGGCTCAGACAATATGTAAGGGAACCTACTCGGCTCAGACAAGTTTATGTAAGGGAACCTACTCGGCTAAGTCAAGTTTATGTAAGGGAACCTACTCGGCTCAGACAAGTTTATGTAAGGGAACCTACTCGTCTAAGTCAAGTTTATGTAAGGGAACCTACTCGGCTCAGACAATATGTAAGGGAACCTACTCGGCTCAGACAAGTTTATGTAAGGGAACCTACTCGGCTGAGACAAGTTTATGTAAGGGAACCCACTTTTCTCATACAATATGTAAGGGAACCTACTCGGCTCAGTCAAGTTTACGTAAGGGAACCTACTCGGCTCAGACAAGTTTATGTAAGGGAACCTACTCGGCTGAGACAAGTTTATGTAAGGGAACCTACTTGGCTCATACAATATGTAAGGGAACCTACTCGGCTCGGTCAAGTTTACGTAAGGGAACCTACTCGGCTCAGACAAGTTTATGTAAGGGAACCTACTCTGCTCAGACTCCCAGCCCAATACTTCAGGCAACAGCTCAACATTTAGTTTAAATGTGACTCGAGGCTTTTCTTTAGGCTGGTCCTTGTTCTTCTTGGCCGTGTTGGTTTCCATGTCTTCAGCTGGTCCTAGCATGTCCTACCTTGTCCTAGCATGTCCTAGCAACTGATACAACCTGCGGGACATAAACAACAGCCTGTCCATTATATGAACACTGCTGCTACAGCCTGCTGTATATATACAACCGTCCATTAAGTCTTCATATAACATGATGGCATCGTTCGTCAATTAAAGAGAGCAAAATTGTGTTGGTGCCACGGTATCGTCGGTGTTATGTAGGGTACCGTCTGATAATGACAGTGTTAAGTGTAAAGCTAACGGTATCGTCGGTGTTGTTTAGGGTACCGTCTGACAATGACAGTGTTAAGTGTATGGCTAACGGTATCGTCGATGTTATGTAGGGTACCGTCTGATAATGTCAGTGTAAAGTGTAAGGCTAACGGTATCGTCGATGTTATGTAGGGTACCGTCTGACAATGACAGTGTAAAGTGTAAGGCTAACAGTAAACTAGCGGTTTACAACCATTTAGGGTTAGGGTTGAATCAATTTGAATTAGCATAAACAAATTCGTAGATATAGATCTAGTATGCAATTATTGACAATATATTTACTTTAAACTCTAAAGCTACTGTTAGGCTTAATATGAAAATTAGGGATAGTCAAATTGAGAATAGATACGTTAAAAAAAGCTTTATTCAAAATATTGATTTTGATTAGCAACTAATTTTATCTTCACTATCAACAATACCGGCGGGTAGTTCAGTTTTATAGGGTCTCAATTTGTCAGTGCCCTCAGCCACTCATTAGTGCGCTGATTAGTTTTGATGAAACACATATTTATTTAAATGTGTTCCTAGCGTTAAGTTTTTCTTTATTGTATATCTTCATCTAAGAAAGATATAAGAATCATGTCTAATTACTAATGGAAAATTTGGAAAAAAAATTCCCAGGGAAAACTTAAAAGATTTAGCGTTTATATTTTAGTTAAATTGTGAAATAATCCCATTCTAATACGAATCTAAAATGAAAACTAATCTAAACCCCAGACAGTATTTACGTCCCGCCCCCACCCCACCCTCTCCCTCCCGGCTTACCCTTCATCGCTTGCTCACGATCACTTGTCTGCCGTGTGTGCACGCTCGGACAAGCCCGTGGTCAGCGTGAGTAGGGAGGTCAGCGTGACACGTGAACTGGCTGGCATGGGAGAGGAAGAGGTGCTAGTTATCCTTCCTCCATCTTGTTGGCCTCCCACAAACTCGAAGCCTCCCGTAATGGTGTGCTCTACGTCACTTCCGTTCAAAATGAAGAGAAACCCACACGGACAGTGCTAGTTTGCAGACGAACTTTGCAGCTTTATTTAATGTGTAGCATATAAATAATTAGAACTGTTTCAGTCTAAATTCTTCGTCAGAGGGAGCAAGGATAAAAAATCAGTATTATAAAATGTGGTGAAAGTAAGGTTACCCATAGAATATGTGAGAAGCTATCAGGCTAGATATGGAGTAGGTGACAACAGCTGTATGTAGGGGTCAAGTAGGTAGCAACAGCGGTATGTAGGGGTCAAGTAGGTAGCAACAGCGGTATGTAGGGGTCAAGTAGGTAGCAACAGCGGTATGTAGGGGTCAAGTAGGTAGCAACAGCTGTATGTAGGGGTCGAGTAGGTAGCAACAGCGGTATGTAGGGGTCAAGTAGGTAGCAACAGCGGTATGTAGGGGTCAAGTAGGTAGCAACAGCGGTATGTAGGGGTCAAGTAGGTAGCAACAGCAGTATGTAGGGGTCAAGTAGGTAGCAACAGCGGTATCAAGGGGTCAAGTAGCTAGCAACAGCGGTATGTAGGGGTGCAATATTTGACAACAGCGGTATGTAGGGGTGCAATATTTGACAACAGCGGTATGTAGGGGTCAAGTAGGTAGCAACAGCGGTATGTAGGGGTCAAGTAGGTAGCAACAGATATATGTAGGGGTCAAGTAGGTAGCAACTTCCTTCATGTAGGGATCCGGAGGGTGGGAACATCAGCAGTTAGGGGTCAGAGAAGATGGGAACACCGCCATTCGGGGGTCGAGAAGATTCGAAACTCGGCTGATACCGATGACATATATAAGGAAATATTTGACCCGTGTCTGCCTGCTTCAAATATTCTTATTTAAATTTCTGTGTGAAAAATTTCAACATTTTATGAGTTTTGATTTCATTTTCTTTGACTATTGAACTTTTAAAGATTAAAATGTACATTTTATTTGTATTTTTGGAACATTGAAATATTGAACACTTCAAGATTAAAATATATATTTATTTTGTATTTTTGGAACATTGAAATATTGAACACTTAAAGATTAAAAGGTACATTTGTTTGTATTTCTGGAACATTCCGAACAATCTACTCACCAGACCCAGTCGACCAGAAACCATGTTTCCTCCAAACCCGGAGCGATGAAAATGGAAATGAAAATGGAAATGAAAATGGAAATGAAAATGGAAATGAGTTTCAGCCAAGCGAAACCCATTACACCATTACGATGCTTGAAACCATTATTTGACTGGTTTATATCTGTTGGCTAACCTTTACTCTAAAGCTTGAAATAACTTTTACCAATACACATTTTCTTTTTAAATTTTTTAAAAAGCTTTGTAAAATATCAAGCGTGACAGCAGACGTCAATGCCAGAGTGTAATGGCATGTAGAGAAGATTGGCAGTCTGGAAACAATATTTAAATCGTTCCCCATTTTCTCACAGCATTTCTTATGACGTCATTTAATGTTACCTTGCTTCAGTACCCAAGGTCGTGAGTACATCCATTCCAGACATTTGTAAATTTTAAGTAACATTTTGTCTAGCACTTTCTACTAAGACGGATCTTCTCCGTGAATTACAGGCAGCATAAAAAAACGTTTGTTAGATTAAAGAAACAGTACCCCAAATAGAATTGTTATTTTATTTATCCAATAAATATTTCATTAGACATTAAAATGTGATCAACAACCTATTGCCTTGTGTCAGAGATAAAACCCTCGTTGGTGTTTCCTTGAGTTGTTTCATTAGCCCCCACACTGTTCTTGTTTTCATTAGCCCCTTCACTGCTCTTGTTTTCATTAGCCCCTACACTGCTCTTGTTTTCATTAGCCCCTACACTGCTCTTGTTTTCATTAGCCCCTTCACTGCTCTTGTTTTCATTAGCCCCTACACTGCTCTTGTTTTCATTAGCCCCTACACTGTTCTTGTTTTCATTAGCCCCCACACTGTTCTTGTTTTCATTAGCCCCTACACTGCTCTTGTTTTCATTAGCCCCTACACTGCTCTTGTTTTCATTAGCCCCTACACTGCTCTTGTTGTCACTGGCGAGGTGTCTGAAGATGAAAATTTAATTAGGGACTTAATGGCATTACTGTGGGAAGTTAGTTACTCAGTTAATGTCATTAATGTGAACCACTAATTATATTGTGGGAAGATAGTTACTGAATTAATGTCATTAATGTCAACAGTAATTATGAAAAAAAAACTGATGCACGCTTCAATTCCGAATAATACAACACATGAAGTAAACAAATCATACAATTTTTATTTTGATTAAAAATCTTCTGTCTCAAAGCCACCTTAACACGTAAATAAAAACCACAAATTGGTTTATTTGTAAATATTTAACTACACAAACCTGTCAATTGAAATATGTTTAAATATTTAACTACACAAACCTGTCAATTGAAATATGTTTAAATATTTAACTACACAAACCTGTCTACTTAATTGTGATATTTGTAAATATTTAACTACACAAACCTGTCAAATTAATTGGGATATTTGTAAATATTTAACTACACAAACCTGTCAAATTAATTGGGATATTTGTAAATATTTAACTACACAAACCTGTCTACTTAATTGTGATATTTGTAAATATTTAACTACACAAACCTGTCAAATTAATTGGGATATTTGTAAATATTTAACTACACAAACCTGTCAAATTAATTGGGATATTTGTAAATATTTAACTACACAAACCTGTCTACTTAATTGTGATATTTGTAAATATTTAACTACACAAACCTGTCAAATTAATTGGGATATTTGTAAATATTTAACTACACAAACCTGTCAAATTAATTGGGATATTTGTAAATATTTAACTAGACAAACCTGTCAATTGGGATATTTGTAAATATTTAACTACACAAACCTGTCAAATTAATTGGGATATTTGTAAGTATTAAACTACACAAACCTGTCAAATTAATTGGGATATTTGTAAGTATTAAACTACACAAACCTGTCAAATTAATTGGGATATTTGTAAGTATTTAACTACACAAACCTGTCAAATTAATTGGGCTATTTGTAAATATTTAACTACACAAACCTGTCAACTGATTTGGCGTCTACGACGATGTCCAATTTTTCCACTTTTATTTCATTCTCAGTTACTTCAAGCATTTCTTTGATGTCGTTGTTGGGTAGTCTGAAGAAACATGTACAGATCGCACAACCAAATTTTTAATAAAACTGACAATATAATGTTGTTTTTTTTTAAAAATATAAATCAATAAAATGTAATAAAATTGTCACGTGATCAATGTTATGGGATACGAAACATATTGGGCTGCTCCATTATGGAATCTAAATTTACAAATTTAAAGAAGTCGTCACCCACCTGCCGAAGTTTTTGGCGTCTTGGACCGTGTCCGGAAGTTTCCGGTTGGCCGTTTCCGGCAGGATGAGAGCACACAGACCAGCTGCCAGACTCAGGGAGCCAAAGATCAGTAGAGGGAGGATCACAGCCAGGTCCCCGCCCACAACGTTACCCTGGGGGTAGGAGAGACAGGAGGGTGGATGGTAGGATGGACAGGAGGGTGGATGGTAGGATGGACAGGAGGGTGGATGGTAGGATGGTAGAATGTAACAGGAAATATAGACAGGAGGGTGGATGGTAGGATGGTATGATGGACAGGAGGGTGGATGGTAGGATGGACAGGAGGGTGGATGGTAGGATGGATAGGAGGGTGGATGGTAGGATGGATAGGAGGGTGGATGGTAGGATGGACAGGAGGGTGGATGGTAGGATGGATAGGAGGGTGGAAGGTAGGATGGACAGGAGGGTGGATGGTAGGATGGACAGGAGGGTGGATGGTAGGATGGACAGGAGGGTGGATGGTAGGATGGACAGGAGGGTGGATGGTAGGATGGACAGGAGGGTGGATGGTAGGATGGACAGGAGGGTGGATGGTAGGATGGACAAGGGGGGTGGATGGTAGGATGGACAGGAGGGTGGATGGTAGGATGGACAGGAGGGTGGATGGTAGGATGGATAGGAGGGTGGATGGTAGGATGGACAGAAGGGTGGATGGTTGGATGGACAGGAGGGTGGATGGTAGGATGGACAGGAGGGTGGATGGTAGGATGGATAGGAGGGTGGATGGTAGGATGGACAAGGGGGGTGGATGGTAGGATGGACAGGAGGGTGGATGGTAGGATGGATAGGAGGGTGGATGGTAGGATGGACAGGAGGGTGGATGGTAGGATGGACAAGGGGGGTGGATGGTAGGATGGACAGGAGGGTGGATGGTAGGATGGATAGGAGGGTGGATGGTAGGATGGACAGGAGGGTGGATGGTAGGATGGACAAGGGGGGTGGATGGTAGGATGGACAGGAGGGTGGATGGTAGGATGGACAGGAGGGTGGATGGTAGGATGGACAAGGGGGGTGGATGGTAGGATGGACAGGAGGGTGGATGGTAGGATGGACAGGAGGGTGGATGGTAGGATGGATAGGAGGTTAAGAGAAATATAGATAGGAGGGTGGATGTAAGCCAGATTTTTAAAATAATAGAATATACTATTTTGGAACAAAAAATTACTAAGTTTTAACGTACTTTAACAAATTTTACATTTAATTTGATTAAAAATCCTCCGTGTTTCAACTAAAAATGATCGACACTAACTGCATACTTTAACGTAACCAATTCCTAATCCAAAGTACCTTGTAGCGAGACCGTCATTAACAACACGGGTCTTCTAGTCGGTGTTATCCAGAACTTACAAGATCAGCGATGTAAGGGGCGAGAATTCCTCCAATCCTGGCAGTCGTAGAGCTGAGTCCCAGCCCCGAGTTCCTCATGACTGTGGGGAACAGCTCGGCTGTGTAGATGTAGATGATGGCAAACGCTGCTGAGGCACCGAACTTTCCCACCAGAGACAGCGTCAGTGTGATCCAGGCCGTACCTGGAGTCGAAATAAGAAGAGTCAGTATGATCCAGGCGGTACCTGGAGTCGAAATAAGAAGAGTCAGTGTGATCCAGGCGGTACCTGGAGTCGAAATAAGAAGTCAGTGTGATGCAGGTTGTACCTGGAGTCGAAATAAGAAGAGTCAGTGTGATCCAGGCCGTACCTGGAGTCGAAATAAGAAGAGTCAGTGTGGTCCAGGTTGTACCTGGAGTCGAAATAAGAAGAGTCAGTGTGATCCAGGCGGTACCTGGAGTCGAAATAAGAAGAGTCAGTGTGATCCAGGCCGTACCTGGAGTCGAAATAAGAAGAGTCAGTGTGATCCAGGCGGTACCTGGAGTCGAAATAAGAAGAGTCAGTGTGATCCAGGCGGTACCTGGAGTCGAAATAAGAAGAGTCAGTGTGATCCAGGCCGTACCTGGAGTCGAAATAAGAAGAGTCAGTGTGATCCAGGCGGTACCTAGAGTCGAAATAAGAAGAGTCAGTGTGATCCAGGCGTTACCTGGAGTCGAAATAAGAAGAGTCAGTGTGATCCAGGCGTTACCTGGAGTCGAAATAAGAAGAGTCAGTGTGATCCAGGCGGTACCTGGAGTTGAAATAAGAAGAGTCAGTTTGATCCAGGCCGTACCTGGAGTTGAAATAAGAAGAGTCAGTTTGATCCAGGCCGTACCTGGAGTCGAAATAAGAAGCGTCAGTGTGATACAGGCGGTACCTGGAGTCGAAATAAGAAGAGTCAGTGTGATCCAGGCGGTACCTGGAGTTGAAATAAGAAGAGTCAGTGTGATCCAGGCCGTACCTGGAGTCGAAATAAGAAGAGTCAGTGTGATCCAGGCCGTACCTGGAGTCGAAATAAGAAGAGTCAGTGTGATCCAGGCCGTACCTGGAGTTGAAATAAGAAGAGTCAGTGTGATCCAGGCCGTACCTGGAGTCGAAATAAGAAGAGTCAGTGTGATCCAGGCGGTACCTGGAGTCGAAATAAGAAGAGTCAGTGTGATCCAGGCCGTACCTGGAGTCGAAATAAGAAGAGTCAGTGTGATCCAGGCCGTACCTGGAGTCGAAATAAGAAGAGTCAGTGTGATCCAGGCGGTACCTGGAGTCGAAATAAGAAGAGTCAGTGTGATCCAGGCCGTACCTGGAGTCGAAATAAGAAGAGTCAGTGTGATCCAGGCCGTACCTGGAGTCGAAATAAGAAGAGTCAGTGTGATCCAGGATACACCTGGAGTTGGAGAACATTTCTCTGTCTCTTGTATTAATTAAGTTCATTGACCTCTCATTATCCAATTACATAAGGTTAATTTAATTTTCAAAAAAGGAATTGCTTTCAGTGAGGTTTCTAGGAAAGAGATTGGACAGTGGCTTCAAAACAAAGGGCCCTAACTCAGACGCAGCTGGGACCACAAAGATGAAACAGGAGCTGAGTCCCATAGAAGAAACATTGTCCTTTCTTAGCTCCCATAGAATAAACAATGTCCTGTCTGAGCTCCCATAAAACAATGTCCTACCTGAGCTCCCATAAAACAATGTCCTACCTGAGCTCCCATAAAACAATGTCCTACCTGAGCTCCCATAAAACAATGTCCTACCTGAGCTCCCATGAAACAATGCCCTACTTGAGCTCCCATAAAATAATGTCCTACCTGAGCTCCCATAAAACAATGTCCTACCTGAGCTCCCATAAAACAATGTCCTACCTGAGCTCCCATAGATGACAGGAAACAAGGTGGAAATACAGGCCACGCCACTGATCAGCATAAAGCAGCACTGAAGCAGACGTCGTCCAACTACATCCAGCAGAGGGAGGGTAACCACGTACGACAACAGCTCCACCAGCGTCAACAGAAAGAAATTCAGGTACAAGTTGCCAGATAAGTTGCCGGCGTTTAGGTTTAGACCGTAGTATACCATACTGCACACCATCCTAATGGAAAAAAATGAATAGAAAAAATTGTGAGTTTACCAAATAGAAGAAGTTGTCGTGACCTATTTATTTAAAAATCCAGCATTCTAGTATATTTTGTTGGCCGATTCTAGCCGGAAAAAGATACGCATGCGCAATGGAGAGAAAAAAAAACCGCTTTTAGTCGCGGCGAAGTTTTCGATGGTACTGCGATGTTTACAGACAATCCGCAGAACCCTAACTCTATCCCTAACCCTAAAGCTAACCCTAACCCCAACCCTAACCCTGGGTATGCCAGTTTCCACTCACCCACCCACCCAGCCAGATACCTACCCCCACCCACCCCTGCCTGCAACTATTATTCTGGGGTACATGAGATTATATATATAAGTTGATACAGAACTACAAATTTGATATGAAATCTATACATACAAGTTACCATGTTCACAGACACACACACACACAGACACACAGACATACCGACTAAATTTCAAAAACGTTTTTCCGACACAGAGAGGTGTAAAAATTTGAAAATCTCGATTTCGATTACGATGTTTCACACGATTACAATACTTATACACCCTAGTGAGTACTCACCAGTTGAAAAAGATGACCAGTGTCCTCACCAGCAGGACAGGAATGGTCAACATGTGCCAGATTTTGTTGCCCTGACCTTCCATCTCGACGTCTTGCAGACTTGAAGTTTTCTCCGAGAGGTCCGCCTGATTTTCTTTGGCGATTTTCCTGACGATGTCCGAAGCTTCTTTCACACGGCCGACATTGACCAGCCATCTTGGTGACTCGGGGACCAGACTAGATCAATTATGATAATTAAAACGTAATTAATTTTTAGTAATACAAATTTCACTAGACAAAATTCAAAGAAACCATCAAAGTTGTAATAAAGGTTACGACAAAATTCGCACTAGGCAAACGGATATTGCGCACAGATTTGTTTTTTAAATCGATAACTCAAAATAACGTCCAATGTAAACCTTGCATAATAAAACATCTTTCCACGATATATGACTCAATGAAACTGTATCAGTATAATGAGAATGCATTCGCGAATATTTTGTGTGTGAATTTTCTGGGAAGCGGTAAGAATGTGATCTAATTAAATACGTCATCAAACATCCCAGAGGCATGTCTTGACAAAAGAAACGTTCTGAGACATTCATGGACTTCTTTCACAAGTTTAAAGTGAGTCGTGTTGTGTCTAGTTACAGGTGTATTAAGCCGGCGTCAGTAAAAGGCACAGAATCTATTCTTACCAAACATGGTAAGATATGGAACCAAAATTTTTACCAGACGAACGTCTACACAACCCTTGAAATCTTACCAAAATTTCATACAGCTAATAAAAACTTACCAGAAGTAAGACAACATGACAGCAGACGGCACTGACAGGAGGAGATGAAGAAACTGCCAGTCCCTAATGCCGTAGGCCGCGGCTGTTTGGACGAACCCCGCCAAACACCAGACGTAGTTGATCACAATCCCGATAAACTTTCTTTTACTGGGGCCGACGATTTCCATGGCTGGTAACAGGGGTCATTAGGATAATAATAATAATAATAATAATAATAATAATAATAATGATAATAATAATAATAATAATAATAATAATAATAATAATAATAATAATAATAATAATAATAATAATAATAATAATAATAATAATAATAATAATAATAATAGTAATAATAATAATAATAATAGTAATAATAATAATAATAATAATAATAATAATAATAATAATAATAACAATAACTAACAGTTATTATATTAATAATAATAATTATTATTATAACAGTAATTATAGTATTAATAATAATAATAATCATGATACTACTACTAATAATAATAATAGTAATAACAGTAATAATAGGCCTAATAATAACAAAAATAAGAAGAAGAAGAAAAAGAAGAAGAATAGAAAAAATAAATTACATAAGTACTATATAACAAATGGAAATTTGTTTTTGGAGAGCGGGTCTAGGAGTGGAGGAAAGGGGTATTGAGCTCCAGGCGTCGATTTCTTTCAATTACATAAATCGTTTTGAACAAAAATTTCATTAGGGCAAGATCATGTATGCATGACAGTAGAAATTACTACTTTACTTGAGCACGATTAAATAATTATATTACTTACATGGGATGCAGGTAAAAAGATATAATACTTACACATAAAGCAAATCAACATATAAACGTCAACCTACTCACCTAGGATGAAGGTAGACAGGTAGACGCCAACCTACTCACTTAGCATGAATCTAGACACCAACCTACTCACCTAGGATGAAGGTAGACAGGTACACGTCAACCTACTCACCTAGGATGAAGGTAGACAGGTACACATCAACCTACTCACCTAGTATCAAGGACAGGTAAACGCCAACCTACTCACCTAGAATGTAGGTAGACAGGTAGACGCCAACCTACTCACCTAGGATGAAGGTAGAGACCAACCTACTCACCTGAGATGAAGGTAGACAGTTAGACGCCAACCTACTCACCTAGGATGAAGTTAGACAGGTAGACAGCTACTCACCTAGGATGAAGTTAGACAGGTAGATGCCAACCTACTCACCTAGGATGAAGTTAGACAGGTAGACAGCTACTCACCTAGGATGAAGGTAGACAGGTAGACGCCAACCTACTCACCTAGGATGAAGTTAGACAGGTAGACAGCTACTCACCTAGGATGAAGGTAGACAGGTACACGCCAACCTACTCACCTAGGATGAAGGTAGACAGGTAGACGCCAACCTACTCACCTAGGATGAAGGTAGACAGGTAGACGCCAACCTACTCACCTAGGATGAAGGTAGACGTCAACTGCTACTCACGTAGGATGAAGGTAGACAGGTAGATGCCAACCTACTCACCTAGGATGAAGTTAGACAGGTAGACAGCTACTCACCTAGGATGAAGGTAGACAGGTAGACGCCAACCTACTCACCTAGGATGAAGTTAGACAGGTAGACAGCTACTCACCTAGGATGAAGGTAGACAGGTACTCACCTAGGATGAAGTTAGACAGGTAGTTACCAACCTACTCACCTAGGATGAAGTTAGACAGGTAGACAGCTACTCACCTAGGATGAAGGTAGACAGGTACTCACCTAGGATGAAGTTAGACAGGTAGACAGCTACTCACCTAGGATGAAGGTAGACAGGTAGACGCCAAACGGTACTCACCTAGGATGAAGTTAGACAGGTAGACGCCAACCTACTCACCTAGGATGAAGGTAGACAGGTAGACGCCAACCTACTCACCTAGGATGAAGGTAGACAGGTAGACGCCAACCTACTCACCTAGGATGAAGGTAGACAGGTAGACGCCAACCTACTCACCTAGGATGAAGGTAGACGCCAACCTACCCACCTAGCATGAATCTAGACGTCAACTGCTACTCACCTAGGATGAAGTTAGACAGGTAGACAGCTACTCACCTAGGATGAAGGTAGACAGGTAGACGCCAACCTACTCACCTAGGATGAAGTTAGACAGGTAGACAGCTACTCACCTAGGATGAAGGTAGACAGGTAGACGCCAACCTACTCACCTAGGATGAAGGTAGACAGGTAGATGCCAACCTACTCACCTAGGATGAAGGTAGACAGGTAGACGCCAACCTACTCACCTAGGATGAAGGTAGACAGGTAGACGCCAATCTACTCACCTAGGATGAAGGTAGACAGGTAGACGCCAATGAGGAAGAAGCTGGTAAAGAACCTCATGATGGCGAACTGGATGAAGCTAGAGACACAACCCGCCGCCACACTGAAGACAACCTGCCCAACAACCCCAGCAACCATCACTTTCTTACGTCCAATGCTGAAGTAAGGAAGATTATAAGACTATCAGGATAGTGTGTGACAGTTTTTAGCATAATTGTAAACAATGATATGACAAAGGTGAAGACGAATAACATAAATTATTGGTATATACATATCAGTCAGCTACCCTGTATACTTACATATCAGACAGAGATCCCAGGGTCAATGACCCTATCAGCAAGCCGCCCATGTAGAACATGTTGGCGTAAGTTCGTAGACTGATTCGGTCACACACCATGTTCGTCTGAAGATAGAACATTAGGTTTTATATTGACCAGCCAGTTCGCGCATTGGCCAACTCGCTTGGCCGGTTTACAAATAAGTTAAATTATATATACGAAATATTCATTAATGTAGGCTAAAAATCTGACAACAAAAGTAGACCTAAAGCCTCACCTCCGTAACAAAAGTAGACCTAAACGTCTGACAACAAAAGTAGACCTAAAGCCTCACCTCTGTAACAAAAGTAGACCTAAACGTCTGACAACAAAAGTAGACCTAAAGCCTCACCTCCGTAACAAAAGTAGATCTAAAGCCTCACCTCCGTAACAAAAGTAGACCTAAAGTCTGACAACAAAGTAGACCTAAAGCCTCACCTCCGTAACAAAAGTAGACCTAAAGCCTCACCTCCGTAACAAAAGTAGACCTAAAACCTCACCTCCGTAACAAAAGTAGACCTAAACGTCTCCCTACTGTAGACCCATCTGTCACACCGTGACGTCACGTTGCTTGAGCCGGTCTTGTAGAGTTGACACTGAGAGAACCTGTTCTGGTCACTCTGCCAAGGAATTGATTGGTTCACTAGAGTCACGTGCCACTCACCTTGACTTTCGTACGTGTCGTTCTCCAGACCAGGTATCGCACACCTGGGGGAAGGGGTTAATATCTGAAAATTATCTATTATAAGCAATAAGAAGGTCAGCAGGTTAGGAGGCCAGTAGGCCAGTATGTCAGTAGGTCAGTGGGTCAACAAGTCAGTAGTCCAGTAGGTCAGAAGGTTTAGTAGACCTGCAATATATTTTAAACTAACATTTCTGAAAATGAATTTCATCACGTCTATCTACAATAGCAGACAGAGGGGTGACGGTTACAAATATGGCCTAAGCAAATAACCTAATACAATTACTCCCAGTTACATCAGTACATCACTACCCAAGACGAACCCTGTCACCAACCATCTGCCGAATACCCCCCCCCCCCCCAGATAGAGCTCACAAAATGCGTATCGTACTGATGCTCCCGTTAAGGAGAATTTTCAGCGCAAACCTTGCCAGAACCGTAACACTACCCTAATCCTAACCGACAATCTAATCCTTATTTAATAGAAAAAAATACTAAGCAGATATTTAGGATATAAATTAACAGCAATTAACTAAATCATTAAATGTCTAAATTAATATAATAAAAAGCTAAATTTCTTCAACTAGTTTTTTCAATTTAAAAAAAAATACTTATTCTAAATTCTAGATCAAATATTTAAACTTTTATTTCTAGACATAAATCGAAATGTGGGACTACGTACTTAAATATTTTGAATGCAATTGTATTTATAATCGTGGTTATGAGAATTTAAAATGTGACGATTGTATTATTATGCAAGGTAAACCACACATAAGTTGCCTATAGCCAGGTACTTTCATCCTAACCCAAACCAAAATTAGAAGACCTTACCTGTGTTCTGGAATGGCCACCCATTTGACCTGGAACATACCTGTGTTCTGGGATGGCCACCCATCATGAGCTGGGACTTACCTGTGTTCAGGAATGGCCAATGTGAAGACGCCCACCAAGACCTGGAACTCGCCAAAAATGGACACTAGACAGACCAAGAAGAAAACTCGCTTTTGATAGGGGCCGAATTCGCCCAGCTCCTTGATGACGTCATCAAACCTCATGGTCAAGCAAAGAAAATAACGCTGACCGCACAGTACTTTGATGGTTACGAAAATGTTTTACTATTCTTAAAGCATTGACAGCTGATGTGCTTCGCCCCAAACGTAACATAATCAGGTAACTCATTAATTAAAGCTTCACACTATTAATTTGTAGATGTGACTTTTAAGGCAAACTGTTATCATATTTGTAACGCTTCATTAAAACTGTGGGAGATTTGTCGTTATGGTTGGCGTAGACGTGGGCTGGATTTGGTGCACTGGGCTACATTTGTCGTTATGTGTGACGTAGATGTGGGCTGGCATTTGGTGCACTGGGCTACATTTGTCGTTATGTGTGACGTAGATGTGGGCTGGATTTGGTGCACTGGGCTACATTTGTCGTTATGTGTGACGTAGATGTGGGCTGGCAATTAGTGCACTGGGCTACATTTGTCGTTATGTGTGACGTAGATGTGGGCTGGCAATTAGTGCACTGGGCTACATTTGTCGTTATGTGTGACGTAGATGTGGGCTGGCATTTGGTGCACTGGGCTACATTTGTCGTTATGTGTGACGTAGATGTGGGCTGGATTTGGTGCACTCGGCTATTCTAAACGCTTCATTTGTCTCAAGCTTAAAAAAATTAAACATTGAACTTGTTAGGTTAGACCACCATTATGTGTTTAAGGCCCATAATTCACATAACATAATTAAAATGAAAACATAGTTGTTTATCTTTAACATATCTTTAAACGTTTTTTTAGTGTTCTTTTTGTTTTGCAAGCTTTTATTTAACTTGCTTTCTTGTCCAGATTGTATGTCGTCAGGCTGTCTATATGTCGTCATAGATCGAAACGCTTAAGCGAAATTTCGGGCACTTCTAAGTGACAGATTCAATTCAAAGTTGGTACGTGGGTCAAGACATAAAGACTATGCAATGTGACATTAAATTGGATTTAATTGGCTGCCTAATTAATTTTTTTATGAATTAATTAAAATTATCCAACTATTCCGCACATTTATACACGCGTTATCTTGTTCACTAGGTGTGCAATGGTTTTTTGTCATGCAACTCTATTGTTACTTAAAAAAAAATTTAAAGCAGAGTTTCTTCCAGGCATCTGTTCGAATGAAATGGAATTTATATAGAAAATATATGCCCCCCCCCCCCCCCCTCGAAAATTTTAGTGCCCCCTCCCCCGGAAAATGTCAAGTCCCCCACTGGAGAAAAAAAGTCTGGAAGAAACACTGATTTAAAGGACTGAAAAAGTACTGAAAAAATATTAAAACGATTTTTATTAATTGTCTTTGCAGTTTGAACTTCTAAAGCATTTTAAGTACTTTTGTAAACAGGATACTGAAACGGTTTTTTTTTGTAAATATTTCCTTAAACATTTGAAAGTTTCAAGTACGGAACATGTCTGTCGGTAGAATTTTTAGCGCAATGTCCATACTGGACAATTGCGATTATTAATTCGTCATTTCTGCATGTGTGTCCGATGTATGGATGTGTGTCCGCAGCTTTAAGTCGTATCTCCTCCTCAATGAAGCAATATCGAGGACTAGTTCCAAAAGCAAATATGTTAAGCAAGTTCCGAGGATGAACAAAGACCAAAAAAATTCCCGGAATTCCTTTCTGGATTTTACCGGAAAAGCCAAAAAACCTCGAACAAATGCAGGTTTTGCTCCATATCTCGGCAACCAGACCACTTAAGGACTTGAAACATTTACCAATCGATTCCTGCCATAATTTAGAATAATATTGCCGAAGAAAGTTTTCAAAAATATCCTTTCGTTCGGTCACAACATTTTTTTTAATTATTTAAACTGAGCATCTTGTAGGCCTAGGATGATATTTTAAACTGAGCATAGTGTAGGCCTACTCGTTAAAATAAAACTATTTCCGTTGATATAGGTTAATATAGTTGTCTTTTTTTAGCGCAATTTCCATACTAGTTTCTATTTTGTTTTGAATTATTAAAACTTCTTGTGTTGCATTATTTATTTGCTGAATATATGATTTATCTCGATTTAAAATTGTTATGGATAACATAAGAAAATTGCGCTTAAATTGTCACTGGACTTTTCTAATAACTTGTTTTTTTTTAAACGGTTGATATTTTACGTAGTATATAGAGTATACCGATTTTATAAATGTGAAATAAATCTATGTCAGTGATTTATAAGAAAGAAATTACAAGTAATTATCTTTAGTAACCATAACTCGTACTAATCCAAGATCATCTAATGTTTTGCTAATTATTTCCCTTGAATTATTGGATTGAATGTTTTAAAATAAAGCGGGAGTGATCTCCCTTAAACATTAACGAATTTTCTTATTTAACGGTACAAGGATCACAACTCGGGATATAGATATGATTCATCAAATTTTAATTACTTAATTACATGATTTAATCCAATTTTAATTACTTAGAATAGAATCTCGTAGAAAAAAAAGAATCGCGCACCAAATGAACAGCAAACAATGGTTGTATAATACTGCGGAACATTAGTACTTTATAACTTCATGTGGTTTTTTTTTTAGAAATCGGAAATAGCTTAAAGTAAAACTTCCGGTCATCGGAAATTACAAAAAAATTGAAAGATAACAGAGAATTAAATATTTTACTTACATGTGAAATTTCATCTATCAGAAACAGTAATCGAGTTATAGGCTTTTGAAAAACCAAAAGTAGAATAAACTCAACTTCCGGTTACCGAAAAAAATTGATACAGTTGTCGGTGCAGCTGTTGTAGGTGTATCTGTTGGTGGTGTAGCTGTTGATGTAGCTGTTGGTGGTGGAGCTGTTGATGTTGTAGCTGTTGGTGGTGTAGCTGTTGATGTAGATGTTGTTGGTGTAGCTGTTGATGTAGCTGTTGTTGATGTAGATGTTGGTGGTGTAGATGTTGGTGGTGTAGCTGTTGATGTAGCTGTTGTTTATGTAGCTGTTGTAGGTGTAGCTGTTGGTGTAGCTGTTGGTGGTGTAGCTGTTGATGTAGCTGTTGGTGGTGTAGCTGTGTTGATGTAGCTGCTGGTGGTGTAGCTGTTCATGTAGCTGTTGTTGGTGTAGCTGTTGATGTAGCTGTTGTTTATGTAGCTGTTGTAGGTGTAGCTGTTGGTGTAGCTGTTGGTGGTGTAGCTGTTGATGTAGCTGTTGGTGGTGTAGCTGTTGGTAGTGTAGCTGTTGGTGGTGTAGATGTTGTTGATGTAGCTGTTGTTGATGTAGCTGTTGGTGGTGTAGCTATTGGTGGTGTAGCTGTTGTTGATGTAGCTGTTGGTGGTGTAGCTGTTGGTGGTGTAGATGTTGTTGATGTAGCTGTTGTTGGTGTAGCTGATGGTGGTGTAGCTGTTGGTGGTGTAGACGTTGGTGGTGTAGATGTTGTTGATGTAGCTGTTGTTGGTGTAGCTGATGGTGGTGTAGCTGTTGGTGGTGTAGACGTTGGTGGTGTAGCTGTTGTTGATGTAGCTGATGGTGGTGTAGCTGTTGATGTAGCTGTTGTTGATGTAGATGTTGGTGGTGTAGCTGTTGATGTAGCTGTTGGTGGTGTAGATGTTGGTGGTGTAGCTGTTGGTGGTGTAGATGTTGTTGATGTAGCTGTTGTTGATGTAGCTGTTGGTGGTGTAGCTATTGGTGGTGTAGCTGTTGTTGATGTAGCTGTTGGTGGTGTAGCTGTTGGTGGTGTAGATGTTGTTGATGTAGCTGTTGTTGATGTAGCTGTTGTTGATGTAGATGTTGGTGGTGTAGCTGTTGATGTAGCTGTTGGTGGTGTAGATGTTGTTGATGTAGCTGTTGTAGGTGTAGCTGTTGATGTAGCTGTTGATGGTGGAGCTGTTGATGGTGTAGCTGTTGTTGATGTAGATGTTGGTGGTGTAGATGTTGTTGATGTAGCTGTTGTTGGTGTAGCTGTTAATTGTGTAGATGTTGGTTGTGTATCTGTTGTTGATGTAGCCGTTGGTGGTGTAGCTGTTGGTGGTGTAGATGTTGGTGGTGTAGATGTTGTTGATGTAGATGTTGTTGATGTAGCTGTTGGTGGTGTAGCTGTTGGTGGAGTAGCTGTTGGTCGTGTAGGTGTTGTTGATGTAGATGTTGTTGATGTAGCTGTTGTTGATGTAGCTGTTGGTGGTGTAGATGTTGGTTGTGTATCTGTTGTTGATGTAGCTGTTGGTGGTGGAGCTATTGTTGATGTAGCTGTTGTTGGTGTAGCTGTTGGTGGTGTAGATGTTGTTGGTGTAGCTGTTGTTGATGTAGATGTTGTTGATGTAGCTGTTGATGTAGCTGTTGGTGGTGTAGATGTTGGTGGTGTAGCTGTTGATGTAGCTGTTGGTGGTGTAGCTGTTGATGTAGCTGTTGTTGATGTAGCTGTTGGTGGTGTAGATGTTGTTGATGTAGCTGTTGTTGATGTAGCTGTTGGTGGTGTAGATGTTGTTGATGTAGCGGTTGGTGGTGTAGATGTTGTTGATGTAGCTGTTGATGTAGCTGTTGATGGTGTAGATGTTGGTTGTGTAGCTGTTGGTGGTGTAGATGTTGCTGATGTAGCGGTTGATGGTGTAGATGTTGTTGATGTAGCGGTTGGTGGTGTAGCTTTTGTTGGTCTCAGAAAGAAACGCAAGTGGTTGTTGTATTAGTAGCTAGTGTACTGCTATTTGTTTTTACTTTCACGTATGTCATCTGTTTATGAGATAAAAATTTAACGAGAGCATTTATGTGTTCTCATAACAATTTACCCCCCCCCCCCCACACACACACACACAGACACACATTAACAACATACACACATGCACTTCTGGCAAATTTTGCTAAATAAATACCTACCAAAAACTGAGTCTCAAAGAAATCAGTAAATTAACAACACTGAGGACGAAGATTAATATGTTTCTATTTATTTGTTTATACATTTGAAACATATTGCAAAAACAAAAAGACTTGACAAATATACATTTCTACAATTATTAATTTAGAGATGCAAAAATAAAGGATATGTTTGCTTTGAAGACAACTGCGTGAAATAAAAGCTAAAACAATTACATTCAAAATCAATGGATCAATGTTCAGTATTCCAACTAAAATCTCTAGATTAACATGCACATTTACAGCTTAAATCTTCAGATTAGCATACACAATTGTA